TTTTTTTTTTTTTTTTTTAACTTAATATAACGTCCGACTACAGGGAAAATCTTTTTAAAAAATTCTAAAAACTAAAGGACATTAAAAATAGTGGAGATGAAAATTTTGCTACTGAAAAGTGTCCCCCGAATTACCTGAATTTATCTTATGTAGGAAATGTAGTCAACTACTTGAGAGAGGAAAAGGTGTTTCGTCCCTAGAGCACGCCAGGACTCATCAGTACGGCTGATGACGTGCTCCCTGTCTTAGACACAGAAGGGGTGTGGGCTCAGATTGACTCGATCGCGCTTATATATTAATTATGCGGGAATTTCGCCGCTTGACGGGTGTTAACAATTAGGGGCTTGGCCACCTGATGAGTAGAGCCTGAAGCGCGAGAGATGTGAGACGCCACAAGTATACGAAACTCGTTCGAAAATGCTCCTTTACGAACCTCGTTACGTTTACCTCTCGGTTCGTAAATCGAAGCCTTTGCAAACTCGTACGTATTATACTATTTAATCATTACACTGTATCTGTTCAATGTTTTTAGAGGTAAGACTATGTATTAATGGGAATTGAGAATTTTGATTTTCGTAAAATACCGAATCTTTCAAGATTTTGAATTATATGTGATAGATGAATCCTTATTATATAGTATTTTATGTAGCACTAAAGCTCAGAAACGTATCGCTTTTGCACTACACTGTGGAGAAATAGTTTTAAATTAGGACAGGATGAAATTTTGTGTTGAAAAAATTTTTTTTTATTTTATTTTAATAAATTCTTTTTAATAAATTTTTTAAAGATTTTATTATAATTTTTTTTTAATTGTCTTATTATCTATATAATAAATAAACACAGAAACGACGAAAAAATGCAAATAGCGAGATCAAAACTGGCACTAACAAACACGCACATGTAAATTTCATTGCTTCCTTTTTCATCATTATGTATAATTACCTACATTCACACAATCGTTCGTGTCTCTTAATAAGCACATGGTTTATTTTTACATTTTTAATACACCTTCTCCCTGTATCATCGACAAAAGGCAATTCAATTTACTTTAATACAAGACTATTAATTTATACCTAATGACTTTGTATAAACATCACTTTCTCCTCACTAGTAGACACCCGCGCTCGTATAAATCATCTTCCTATTCACTTACTCTATAAAAAATGGATCTATTTCTCAGCGACCATTATAGCCCCGATGTTAGCACTTTTGTTCATAATTATATTTATCGATAATTTATTAATACACAGTTTTTCAACGTACGGTACGATTCGTAATCTCAATTCCATTCACATTAACTCGTCTTCATTGAGTAATTTTTTGTCATAGCAGTAAGTCTTGCATTAAAAAAGCAAAATACAAAGTTTTAACTCTCCCATGCTTTCGGTAAAAGTATTTTGTTGGCACCCCACTTCTTAAAAAGTCTGCGCATTGCGACAAATGCCGCAACCAAGAGCGAACTCTTCTCCAGTCGGCGGGTGTTTAACGTACAACGGACACTCCTCTCCACCCAGTTGTTTTGCTCGAGGTCCTGCAAAAATACGTAAAAAATCAGATTTAATATGTGTGAAAATATTTACAACTGAGAAAAATAATGTACCTGCCGGGCACGAAGGCAATTCGTTTTTAGGGATATGGGTGACCCTCTGAAAATCATCGTGGCAAGGTTTGCAGAAATGCGTGGTACCGAAGCAGAAGAAAATTGCTACGGAGCAACAATAGCGGCACTTGTATTCAAGAAAGTCGGTACCATGCTTGGGGCACATTTGAGCTCGAGCCACGTCGCTACAACCTCCACAGACGAGTTCAGCCGGATCGAATGACTCGTCGCCTTGCTGAATGTCACAGCGCACTTCTCCGCCGTAGTAGGCTTTCTGGCATTTGTAGCACATGTAATAGGCATAGCGATCCATCGCGTAGACCGCAGGGTCATGATAATACCGGCCACCCGGCGTTGTCACAGCCTCGGATCTTTAACAAAAATTGTTTTGTCGCTCATTTTACGTTTTACTTTATCATGTCGCATTATTAAACTTACTTGTCTAGGCCCTCGTATTCCAGTCTCATCAGTGCTTTCCTCTTCACATCTTCGTACAACTCCTTGATGCTAGCCAGCTGCTCGACGAGATGCGTATTTTTCATAGGCACTTTGCAGATGGGGCAGAGCGAAAAGCTGAATGTTATCCGGGGACCAACCCAGCGCTTGATCAACACGGTTCTGCAGCAGTGCAGGTGAAAAACGTGGCCGCAATGCAGTTTGATAGCCGGCGCCGACGACAGAGCTTCGACGAAGCAGATCATGCACATGTCGTCGGCGTCCTGGCGCAGATCGTCGTCTCGATTGCAGCGTTGCAAGCAAGGCAAACAGGGACTTTCGTCACGAACGCCTCCGCACAAGTGTCCGCATGCGAGTACTTTGCTACACGCGTTCTTGGCGTGCTCTTGACAGTCGTGATCCGAACAGACGTTACCGATCGCCAGGAGTCCGGTATTGCCTTAATCAAAAAACATCATTTTGCTTTAAACTATCTAAATAATCTAAATTTATTATTTTTTTTCTTTCATAAATCTGATTAAGTGTACCTGTCGTTCCACAAAATCTGCAAACTCCTGATGTAGCTCCCACGGGCTTCTGAGAGGGTCCGTCGCGAAACTCCACCAGAGCTTTGAGCGTTTGGCTATCAGCCAGTACGAGGATCCAGAACAGCTTTATCCGCCCACAGCCCTCGTGAAGGTCAACGCGAATTGCCTCTTCCTCTTCTTTGCATACCTGTCGCACGTGCGATCGCGTTCTGCGATGTAAATGCAAAATCCGATCGCAATCGACGCACAAATTACCGCAGACGTTACACTGGATCACCGCTGTTGTTTTGCCGTCATCGTGGTTACTGCACGTTGGCTGTGGAAATTACATTCATTGAAAGATATATACATCCGTATTTTTTACCGATATTTCTTAATGGGATACGTACTCTGGGAGGCAGTGGTTGGCCGTCGGCGCTGGTCCACTGACCGGAAGATAGCCTTTCCACGTGATCGGAGTTTAAAACACAGAGAGAAGACAGGGCGAGCCACAAAGTTGGCGATCGAAGACATTTCGTCAGGTCTCTGCATTTTTCGTCTAATCGTGTGAGATTTAAAATCGTCTCTGCGATAGCTGCCTTTGTCACGTTAGCCCAAGCTTCTGATAACTTGCCCTTAAAGATACACATTTTTCAAAATTTCATCTCATCAGAAATATAGGTGACTCTTAATGATTTAGAAAACTTACAGACGCCATGTCTTTGAGAAGCTGTATTATTTCCTCGGCCAGCTTCCTTGTAATGCAGCCTCTCAGCCACCACCTCACGCCGACTGAGCTTTTTGGGTGTATACTTGTAGCCAGTGAAATGGACTGCATGACTTTTCCGTTGCTCTCTTTATCCTTGACTTTAACTTGAACGGTCAGAGCTTTGGCGATACAACTGAAGAATACGTCCAACACACCCACGCTACTATCGTCGATGTCCATCAACTGCGAGTATCCGTTACTCGTGGCGGTAATGATACTATAATCGGATGGTGGCAGCTTCTCCGCGCCAACGATATTAGCAAGCACATCGGGTTTTATTTCAGGTAGGATTCTTCGGAGCAAAGAAGTCACCTGTCTCTGGACCCTTGCCGATCCTGTGTGCAATAAGCTCAGAAGATCCTTCAACAGTCCATACTGGTGAGAAAGGTAATTCCTGCCGACGGAACTACCACTCAGAGCCAAAACCATCGATAACATTTCGAAACAGTAGGTATCAGCAGCTTTCAGCGCGTCGCTGTTGTCGCTTGTCAAACTGTTGGCTGGAGTTGGTGAGCATAAAAGAGCCTCCCACTCTTCCCTGAGCCGTAATGTTTCCTTACGAATCGCTTGTACTATGTGCGTGCAAACTTGCTTCTGTAGATGCGTCAACTTGCTTCTGCTAAACAGTATGCCAACCACGTGTTCTCGTAGCTCGTTACTCTCCTCCAGTTCTTCGTTGTTTGGTTCCACGTGAGTCGACGTATTTGCCGCTGGACTCATACGTTCACCTTCGATAAGTTTACCGAAAACTTGCGACGTGATCGAGCGAAATATTTTCAGAGTTTCTGCTTCGCAGTTCTTCTGCTGAATGGATGACGCACTGATCTGCTTTCCAATCTTGAGAGGCTCTCCCTCGATCTCTCCCAGAACACGAATTTGCCTCACTCTCAATGAATTATCGGGACCCTTGAGCTCGAGGTTGACCATCAGATGCCTAGGATTAGTGATTGGACAGCTCACCCAGCCGGTGGATCTACCTTCGATTTCCACGGTCTTGAGTTTGACCATTTCGTCCGAATCAATGCCCGATTGAAACGCGATGCTCGATACCTTATGCTGCGAGTGGAAAACGAAATTAAAAACCAAGTTAGATAAAACCTGCATAGTTTTGATAAAGATTTACAGAAAAAAGATACTGACCGTCAAATCTCGGCAGTTATCAATATGAATGTAGATCATCTTGGGCAGCATGTGCCCACCACTGACGATAGTGATTGTTTTCGCTTTGTCCCGATCCTCGTCACCGGATTCCCAAAAGGTCTCTGTCGTGCCGTCCGTGAGATTGCTGATCATCGCGAGTCTGCTCGAAGCTTTGATCTCGACACTCGAGGTCAAATCCCTTAGAGTTTCGACGGAGCTCAGTGCTTGATTCGACAGATTAGACTGATGACTCTTGTGCATGCTCATTGCCGCGTCCTCTTCCTCCTCGGAGCGCGACAGTATTTTGCTTATGTTGCTAAAAACATGGCTCCTGTGCAGAAACATGTGATCAGCTGGTGTAAACTCAATCGCCCAACATCTCACTGCCGCTTGTTGCAATGGAGAACCTAATTATCGAAATAAATCAATATCTCCTTACGCGATACATCAACATATGAATTAATAAAATGACCAACAAGACTACACATACCAGGTGGGGGTAAAAGCATCAGATCGGCAATCGTTTGCAACAGAGTATGGAACGTTGACGTGAGCAACGGGGTAGCGGCCTCTCCAGCGATGAACAAGTCACTCAGAGGATGTTCGCACACGCCGACCATGTCCTATGAGCGAGGAAAATAAAAAATAAACATTTTCTCCTCTAAGTTCAGCACCAAACTGCAGTTGAAAACTCACGTAATCCTTTTTTCTCTCGATGCACCGTTTTCTGTTGTCGTCCTCGTTGATGTTCATCAAGTCGTTGACAACCGGCGTGAGCGAAGCAGTGAACCACCAGAGCAAATCATGCAAGCAAATAGGATGAGTGACGCTACGTAGCAGCCAGTTGAGCGCCTGCATAGCGTACACCCGACAAGTGGCGCGCCTGAGCGCCTGCTTCATGGCGTACTGGAGGTGCTGAAGGTTGTGCTGCTGCAGGACGAACAGCATGACCGGCCTGGAGAGTAGATCGACGCGCTCGTTGTTCGTAGCCGACTCGGGCGTTTGGTTCGTCGAAACTATTGCCGATTGATCCATCGACGGGACTAGCTTCTGTAGTGCAGCCGAGGGGTAACAGATCAGCGAGGAGCCGGCATCTGAAAGAGGACACAAAAGTTGCAGGATTGACGATAAAAGTGAAAATAATGGTCCCTTCAAAAATAATAACCACCGTTGTTCAATTCGCTGCTGCTGTTGTTCCTCTTGCGCATCAGCACGATACGGCCATCCTGAGTTTTTGCCCAAGGAGCTCCAGTCGACATGGAAACCGACCTGTGAAACATCCCTCGATTTTTCCCGCTGTCGCTGTCACTGTCACTCATCGGGCATTCGGACAGAGGCTGAAAATATCAAAATTCAGCCCAACGATGTAACAGACAAGAGTACGAAATAAACCGACGTAAAAAAAGCAACGCACCCTTCCATTACTCATGGACGATCCTACGTTGTTGCCCTCGTAGGAGCTCTGCTGGCGCCTGAGAGTCTCCTCGTACAGGCGCTCCTCGCTGGTCTGGAGATTCTGAACACCAAGAGCGTGCAGACACTGAAACGGTCCAGCCGAGGGAAACGGGCCGGCCGGCTCAGGTGGACTGTAATTCTCCGCGACGGAGCTGAGGGTTTGCGAGGACCGGCGCTGCTGCTTGGGAATGTTGACCCCCGCGGCGCTCGCCAGGTCAAGCAGGAACATTGCGTTGTTCTTCAGGATGACGTGGGTCTCGTCACCCTCGGGCGAGCCAGGCGACATGAGCTTGTTGTCGTTGCGCCGGTGCCTCCTCTTCCTCGCCATCGTGACGTCCAGATTCTTCATGTACTTGCCGCGACACGTGTCGCACAGCAGGTACCAGGCCGTGGGCTCGCTACCACCCTCGCCGCAGTTACCGGCCCAACCGACGCAGTAGCTCCCTGCGGCATTGTACCCCTTGCCACCGGCGTTCCAGCCGCAGCCCGGGTGCAAGTTCTGCATGTGCTCGGGCACGGGGTAACATACCATCAGACCACAAAGCTCGCACGTGCCTCGCTCGACGACGGGCGTGGCCTCCGCCAGTCCCTTCGCCACATCGGACCTCCACTCCTTCCGCTCCTTCGAGCTCTGCTTCTTGTCGCGCTTCTCGTTGCCGCTGTCCTTTGCCGCCGCACCCGTCGACGTGGGTATCTTCGAGGGCAACTCGTTGGACGATCGCTTACCGAACTTGACCGGCGGTGGGGGCGGTCCCCGGCTCTGGGGACTAGGTAACACAGTCTGCTGCTCGATAGCCTGTAGGGTACCCGTGCTGAGCTCCTCCCAGAGGAAAACGAGACTCTTGAGGGACGGCGGGAGAACAGCCACGGTGGTCAGCTCCGGGAGGGCCGAGAGGTTGCTGCCCGCCGGTGTCTCCTCCTTGATGGCCGAGTCTGGCTTCTTTCGGTTCCTGTTGGCGTTGGCGTTGGCTGCGGAGCGCGTGAGGCTCTCCAGGGTGCTCGGCTGTATGTGCAGGTAGTTGCCGTCGTTGGTCACCTCGACCGAGTGCCTCTGCCGGGCGCGCTCCTCCCGCGTCATCTCGTGCTTGCGCCTCTCGTTGCTGGTCGACGGCGCCTGCCGCGTCACCACGAGGGCCCCCTGCTTCGGCAGCCCCGGCTGGAACTTGAGGAAGCTCGCGCAGGCCATGGCGTCGTGGGCTATGCCCTCGTGCCAGACGAACGCGGCGAACACGGCGCGCAGGCACTCGGCCACCGACGGGCTTATCGCCGGTTTCACCTGAAGGGCGCGTCAAGGGTATCAGTCAATCACATGTACATATACACTAGTAATTTCCTTTGATCATGTCGTACCTTTTCCTTGTTAAAGTTCAAGGCGCAAGTGGGACTGGTTATCTGTTGGTTCTTCGCCGGGGAAGTGGCTCGCTTGTTTCTCGTTTTGGGGGTCTTTGCGTGCTCGCGGCGGTAGTGCTTCAACGCGTGGCGGTCCTCCTTGACGGGGAAGCTGTTCTTCATGGCCGTGGTCGCGCTCTCCGGGCTGGTCTGCGTCTGGGCCTCCGAGACCCGCCTCGAGAGCTCCTGGGAGTCCTGCCGGTGTTTTTTTCCAACTATTGCATCCTTTTGCCGGGGGGACGGGGTAACATTGGCGATTACAATTGTACTTACGCTCATTTTTGGGGTCTCGGGGGGACTGGACATGCTGCCCTCGGAGCGTATGTGCAACGAACTGCAACTCGGGCTGGGTGATATGTCGCGCGTCGTGTTGGCCATGGAGCTGATGCCACTGGGGGATTGGGATGGGTCTCGGGTTAGGCTGCTCACGAGGGCACTGGTGTCGCTTTGCGTCGATCCACGACGGTGGGATGTCGCGCTGTCCATCATTCCGCCCGACACTGGCACGGTACAAAGTTGGCAAAATGTTTCAATTAAGTATTTCTCATCGATTTTTTATATATTTTTGGCTCTTCTCATTGAAACTTTGCTCATCGCATGCTGTATACCCACATCAACAGATAATAGATTTATTCAAATAATTTTACACCGGATATTTAAAAAAATAACATATCACGATATGTATAGTACTGAATATTCATTAAGCAATTCATGAGGAATTTATATTGTCAGCATATAATGGTGCAATATTCGTGCGAGTGTTTATACGACAGCAATACTATAATAGTGTTATAAAAACATTGCATCATTCATTTTGTTACGTTTTTTACATACATTCATGCTACTCTGTTGTTTTTCTAAATACATTACATACACGTAATTGAACTTTATTTTGTTGTTCAAAGATAAATTTAATACATTTTTCCGATGAAATATCGCAATTATAATAGAAAACAACCATAACACAGTGACACATAATATTTCACTCTTTTATCAGTGAAGGGATTCAAATAAATTATTTAATCAATGATAAAAATTCAACTCTATGATTGGATCGATTTAATCGAATAATTTTGAAAAAGAGAGGACCTCATTTAACAATCGAAAAATTAAATTTGAAATATCTTTGCACGTGTGACGAATATTTTTATTAAAAAATCAATTATAAATTTTGTTTATTGGTAACATTTAGATCTTTAAAATTAATTTTTTAAAGAATCTTACCTAAAGGCGAGACTCCAATACTTCGGGGGGAGCCGTAGTGCAAGGGACTGCTGCTGGCACTGTCTCCCCCAGTGAAATTTTTACCACCTAATAATTTTTTTTTCTGTCATTCATACACGATTATTCGTATATTTAGTTGGAACTTTGTGAAGATGAAGCTTAAATTTTCTTAAGAATCAAATAGTGTTTGCGATGAATCGGATGATTTGACTCTAACTTTTTTTTATACAACGACATCATGTAATTGCGATATTAAAATTAAGAAAAAAAGTTCACCCCTACAAATTCTGTCATCCACAAAAGAAAAAGATAGTCAAACAAAAAAAAAAAAAAAAAAAAAAAAAAAACTTTAGACCGTAAAATTAATGATTTTGTTCAACAAAATACCGACACTAAATGAATAATCTACGAATAATAAGCAAAATGCACCTATGGTGAGCTAAATACACAACACAAAATCAAATTAATCTAAGGACATGTATGCACGTGTGCTTGAAAACTCAATGATCGAATGACGTGCAAATGTATGTGTGAGACCGAAGGGCAGGATGATAAGTGCACAGATTCGGTAATTGTCAAGTGAAGCGTATGGGGTACCTTGAGCAGTAGCGGCAGACGGAAAGAGACCGGAACCAAACGGCAGACGACTGGAACCAGCTGAATACCATGATTTTTTTCTTTTAATGTAACTATGCAAGCTATCGTAAGTCTTTTGGAGGGGGGGGGGAGGGACTATCATACTCTTTGAACTAAGTAAACTCCCTCTAAAAACACACATATCCCATGCCAATTGAAAGAAAGCTGTTTGAGAACCACACACAGGTACGTAGTATAATGTTTGGTGCAAGGGAGCTCGAGTAGAAAAAAAAAACTCACCAGGAATCGGTACTGGACTGGAAGACCGGCTGGCAAATCGTGGCGAGCCCGCCTGCGGATTCTTCGGCGAGGAGCTGCGAGACAGTCGCTTCGGCGTCTCCGGCGGCGTCGATCCGTTGCCGTTCGCTCGGCTCTCACCCATCGCCTTCACCAGCTCCTTCACCGAGACCCCGACAAACTCCGAAAAGTCCCTGAAATTCCCCAACACTCGTTATCATCTTTCGTCCACTTTCCATCGGCAGAACCAACCTTCCCGGCGAGCTCTTCTTCTCTGCGTTGGACTTGTCGTCGCCCCTGAGCCACTTTTGGAGCACGCTGAACTTGCCACCACCGGGCTCGCGCTCCTTGCTCGGCCGGTCCTTCAAGGGTCCCTTGGCCGGTTTGGCCAGCGGCTCGATGGCTTTCTCGAGCTTGTCCGTCTGCGACTCGGCCTGCTGGTACTGTTTGACGCCGTTGCTGCCGCCGTAGGCGCCGAAAAGAAAGGAGCTGTTGGGACCGTCGCAGTTTGGCAGGGAATTAACTTGCTCGCCGGCAGCTCGGCTGCTCGTGGCTGGTTGCTCTGGGCCCTTGTGGTTCGGCACTTGCTTCTGCTGGTAAAAACCGACCGTGGGAAAGTTGTATTGGTACATCGGAGAGAATCCGTCACGAGATAGTAACGAACCTGAGCTACTTGCGCGTCCTCGGGCACGCAGTCGTCGGCGAGTTTCATGTAGACGACCCCGTGTTTGTTCACAGCCAGGGACCAAGCCTCCTCCTCACCGAAGAAGCAGTACTTGCTCGTCGAGTGGGCGTCCATGCGCACCCAAGTGCCGTAACGATTGGCCGACTAATTTCACGGGGGGGGGGGGAGGAAGAAAATGTACATTCAAGCGCGTTTAAGGTAAATCGTGCAGGAAATGGGTAATCGAGTGCTCACGAATTCTTGGACGGTGACCGTGTTGCCCAGCGACAGGGATCCCACCACCTCGGCTTTCAAGCTCGGCTTGCACCTGACGTTGTGGGCGGAGGCGCCGCAGGTCACCACAGTCATGATTTTTCCGGCCTCGAACGTCACGCTTCTCTTTTTACTGCGAGGCAGGAGCATTTTACAAGAATTTCGATGTAAGTGTACATGTAAAGTCGATTGTACTCACTCTTCGTTTGTTTCCGACTTTTTGTTCTCCTTGGCGAGGTTGGTGGCACCCGTGGGCTTGGCCTCCTCCACCGGCAACAAAAGGGCCTGGCACAGGTGCTGGTTGTACTGCAAGCACCAAGCCTCCAAGTGGCCGCTGTTGCAGTACTTTGTGATGCTGTCCACGCTCAAGCGATACCAAACCCCGTCGTCGTTGTGGATCTTCAATTTGGAGGGAGCAAAGCGACAGCGTTACGGCACAAAGCTACGTACAACGCGACCAAGTATAACATGTACATAGTATGGTGTACCTCGTCGCAGTAGGTCATGGTGCCGTTGATCGGTACGATGCCGATCTGCTTGCTCTGGAGCGAGGGGTGGGCCCGTATCCTCAGCCCGGCGCTGTTTTTGGCAACAAACTTCCAGGTCTTGGCCGGTGGGTTCTTCAGCTTCTTCATGTTCGTGGGCACCGGCATTTGGTCGGGGGGTGGTCGCTTCACCTCGACTTTGTAGCTCTGCGGGAAGAGAGGGGGGTAAGGGGTGAAAAATCGGTATGGACTGGTCGCGGTTGAGGTGTTTACTCACGCTGTCCATGTCGTAGCCGTCGACGTTGACCTCGATGGAGTACCAGCCGACCGAGAAGGGCGTCCAGGTGGCCTTGTAGTAGCCGTCCCCGCTGAACATGACGATCATGCTCTCGCAGGATCGCTTGAGGGCCGAGGAGGTGAAGCGCAGCTCCTCGAACGAGTAGTTGCGGTAGGCCTTCATGATAGTGATAGCGTGGAACTTGAGCTTGTACGGGTCGTCGAGGCAGGTGACCTCGTAGGGCATCTCGAGGGATGGTCGGGGGTGGCCGCCGAACGTGGCCGAGTCTATCTGCAGGCTCCGCTGGCTCTTGCGCGTGTGCTCCGACTCGGACAGCTTGTCGAACGGCACCGCCTTCGCCTCGATCTGCGTTACGTACATTTTTTTTTTTTTTTTTTTTAATAAAACTATGGATCAGATTATTCGACGATGGGACTAACCTTGAGGTTGGGCGCGTGGACGAGCTCGCCGTACTGGTCCCTGAGCACGAGGGTGACGATCGTGGGTAGGCCGGAGCGCAGTTCGTCCCGGGCGCAGAGGATTTCGCACTTGCTCGGGTCGACGTAGCTTTCGGGCTGGAGCCATCGGGCCAGGCGACCACCGCTCGTTCCGGGGGTGCACAGGACAAAGTCCCGGAGGAAAAGACGCTCGTTCGAGTTGCAGCTAAGGGCAACAAAAAACGCGTTTTTTTTAATTTAGCTCAAAGTTTTGGCCTATTTTTTTCACGATTTGGGTGGCTAAATTCACACGAGAATGAGCACTCGTTAAGATTTATCAATACGTATTTTTGTGGAAGTCGATATAGCCATTACATGATACGGATGTTTCACTGAAACGTGATCCTAATTATTTTGGTAATTTGCTAAATTTATTCAATACTAACGATAACTACATTTTCGAGAACATAGAATTTAAAATGGTTGAAATATTTTATTTTATATTGAATCATAATTGGAATAATTTTAATGATAATCATATTTGGTAGCATAGTTGCAATAGATTTCCAATCCCACTTGTAATAAAAAATGGAAATGTTGTAATTGTTATGTTTGAATAAATCAATTAATCGAAAGTACAATAAGGATTTTCTTATTTCAAAAAGAGGCAATTAATTTGAAACAAAAATCAATTCCTCCACAGAAAGCTGATTCGTTGGATTCGTTCGAAATAAACTGCACAGTGGTAGTTAAGTTCCAATCATTCGAGTAAAAGCATCGGAAAAAGAACCACATCAAAGTGGCACAGCCAACAGCAGCGCCTTTACTTATCCCACAAGTATAGTGAAAAAAAAAAAAGAAAACTCCCTAATTGGCAGGCTATGTCAGCCAGAGACGTTGTCCAATGTCTTATCAATCGCAGTGTTTTTCCCCCCCCAACTCCCCCTAACGCAATTTACGGTATAACTGTATATTCCGAGAGTCACGCCAACAACAAGGCGACAATGGCAGCCAGCACACTTGACCGATCTTTCGAGAGGAGGAAAATTGGTACGGGCCGTAAAGCTGACGTGCCGATCTCGTTTCTAATTTTTCTAGTTTTACTTTTCAGGACAATGACAGCTTTAAGCTTTGGGAGTTTCGAAACACTCCCACGGAAGTTAAGAGAGGGACGAACGGAAAAATACGATACTCGGTACTCGAAAAAAAAAAAAAAGAACCAGAGACACATTCCAAAGGCAACATGTCCCGCAAGTGAAACCAGATACGTACACAAGATCCTCGAAAACGTCAACACGCACAACACCCTTCCTCCGCCTCTATCTCACCACAGCCATAATTATGTGCTATCGATGTAGCCCATTATCATCTCCTTGGTCGATTTATCGCATTCGACCCACGTGGAAACTCCAAAATCTCAAGTCCACCGTGATAAGCTCAGATTGGGAATAATGTCTCTGGATCGACTTATACGTACGAAACACATGATCGGCACGTGGTTTCTCCCCGTCGAGCTGTCAGGTATATATACCCTCGCACCGTTTGACCCAAGCGGGAGAGCATCAGCTACAGGCTGCACGTGGCGCACAGACGATTTTTTCCCTTCTCTCCCTTCGATGCTCATTTCTCATGGGAAATCAGAGTTGGACGAAAAACACACTAGTTTCGCTCTCTCTCTCTCTCTAACGGATAGGTGGACTTGCACCCATAGGTATTGTATGGAGCTCCGTACGTATATGTACACAGAAGGAAAGAAGAGAAGTGCACTTCCGCTTCCGACGAGTCACTTGTATGGTGGTGGTGTACGCGCGCACGTGGGTAAAAAAATATTATTCCCATAAGAGTATCGACAATGAATGAACGAACAACTGAATGAACCAGCAAGGAGGGAAGGGATCGGAGTCCATACGCGCTGCTGATGCTACCCTTTCCTTTTTTTTCTTCCCCCTGCCTTTTCTTATCCCGGCAGTTGAAGGGCTGACGGATCAAACGAGCCGTGCGTTGTTTTTATATGGGCAATCTATAGAGGATACGAGTTACCTATACTCCGTAAAATAAAAAAAAAAAAAAAGAATCAAGGCCGGGAGACAAAAAGTACATGCATACCTGCACATATATTGAAAATGAGTTTCTTTTGTGCGCGCAACGGGAGCGAAAAAAATTAGTGAGCTTTCTCAGCACTCCTCGAAACTAATGGCTCTTTTTGTCCCCTTCAAAGCGTCGAACCTTTTGCTTCTCGCTTGTACAGTGTGCGACGCGCTTAAAACGCGGACAGTGACTTTTAATTATTTGGTGTGGAGTAGGAAAGACTGCACGCGCTCGGGTGCAATAACGTCGCGAAATTGCGGCGCGGCGCCCTTTTTCCGCGTCACCGTCGTTACTCTGTACCTCGTGTTATCACGTATGCACTTTTCTTTATTAAATTCTGCAGAGCTCGCCTTGTTTTTTTTTTTTTTTTTTTTTTTTTTTTTCCAAGCGTTTAAAGTGAGTATAGCGAGTTTTTTTGTCGAACGTTACTCCATACCCGCGACAGCTGCCAAAAGACACAATATTGCCGCGTGTATCTGTGGTTTTTATTACGAGTTGAGTGATTTATTAGTTGTTTTTTTTTGTTCCACAGTTCAATGCACATAATGGATACAATATGGCATCTGGTGACGTGTCGTCAATTTTCGTTTCTTTTTTCATCCGATTGAGCAAACATCAAGAGACCCCTCGGAAAAGACGAGAAAATCGTCAAAAGGAGCCGAGATCCTTGCGTCGCACGCGGACAAAAAATATTCGAAAGTCCCAAACAAACACAGAGAGAAGAGACTCTCCCCAGCCGGCCGGTCTATATTTAGATATTTAGACCCCCTGGTCCCCGCTCCCACGAAAAAAAAAAAGGCAAATGCTCAGGGGAGTAGGAGCAGAGGACCTGTTTGGACCTGCTACTACTACTACACACAATGCCCTTGTATCCCTCGTTAAAGAGTATATAGCGATACATTACACGTAAAAAAAAACAATTTTTTTTTTTTTTCGGGCGGCTCTGTTTGGAAATAATAATTATACTTTTTTCACTCACGTGAATCACATTTAATTGACAATTATAAGCCAAAAAATGGTCCTAGATGGTCCACCCAAAAGAAAAACGCACCTAAATTATTCACGATTCGAACAACACAAAAAACAGTTCCCAAACGCGTTTAACAACTTGGATTCCTCCAAAACAACGGCTCGATTGTTCATCTTAAAAAAAAAAACAGCCACGAAACGGGCGCTCGTAAAAACATCTGTACACGGGGTACACCCGAGAAAAACGAAAGTCGATAACGATTTCGGTAAAAATCTCGAGAAATCGGTACTAAATCAACTCGCGCTCCGGCTTATAGGTGGGGCAAAACCGTCTCGTTTCCACGAGCCACGGAAGAGACAGTCTCCTCTCCCTTTAAAGCGCATCTCTCGGATCTCGACAGCAGCTGAGCCGAGACAGCAGTGCATAGCATATAGAAGAGGAGAGGGAAAGAAAGGAAGAAAGAAAGAGCGGCTAAGCAACAGCATCAGGGGTGAAAAAGCATGCAACAGCGGCTCAACGAAGCATGCATGTGTGTGTATGCCTCTCCCTCTCTTTCGGCCGCAACAAGCGATCGGAGACTAGCTGGCTGGCTTATGTCAGAAATATTCTCGCAGCGCAGTACCGATCCGGCCTCCGCCACGACAGCTCCGCTTTGCCTCCTTTCAGCCTCGACTCGCGCTCGCGAGGGGGAATCGAGCGACCGGTTCGCTTTTTATAATATATACATATAGAACGCTCGGCCGATCGGTAAACAGATAGAGCACTGCTGCGCACCAGATCGCCTAATGGGTGGACCGCGAGTGTTGTTGTGCGCGTGTGTCGCCGATAAATCGCGCAGTGATGAATAAATTTATCGATAAATCGAGTGACGGCTTTACGTTGTCGTAGGAAAAAGTCATCCGATCTCGAGGTCCTTTTTTTTTTTTTTTTTTTTTTTTTTTCTCTCGGCGCCAAACGGACGACTGGCGCGTTGAAAAGATAACACCTCCATACGCACTCGCAAAGGAAATTATATTAATGATTCACGGCTCTTGTGTCGCGATTAGTCACATTTTCCTCGGCCGCAGTTGCGCGCAGTCCGAAGAAAAATAGAAAAAAGTTTCCACCTTCGACTTTTCCTTTATCTCCTTTCAAGTCCTGGTGAGACAAAGTGAAATTAAAAAAGAAGGTACAACCAATAAAGTGGTGATATATATATATATATATATATATATATATATACGCGACATCCGATGGCCAGTATCGCTCGAGTCGCGAAAAGCCTCGTTGGTGTTTCAAAAGTGGTATCTACTGGCGACATGGTTGGCAGGTCCTTGGATCGTCGTTAAGGGTCACGGGGTAAGCGCAAAAATCGTCAATCACGATGATGGGGAGGAAAAGTCACCCCGTGTGGCTGTGCGCGTGGCTACTGCTGGCCACTTGCGTCGCTATCGTGCCAGCCGAGGAGGAGGATAACGGGGGCGAGGAGAAGCAACCGAAACAGCAAAACCGGCCAAAGGGCATCTGTGCCCTCGATGGCTGCAACTGTTCCGTCAAGGCGCACCACTGGGTCTTCGTCAAGTGTAACTTCACCGACGACCAGGTGATTGATTTACTTTATGCTGTATTATGTTCTGCAAGTTTTCTTGGCTGGGCGTTTGGTACTATTATTTTTACGATTGGTATGAATTTTAGCTCGTAAAAGTAAAGGGTCAAAGATCTGAAACGATTTATGTAATCCAATAACGATCGACGGAAGGGAGATTTTGACGAAACGAAAAATAATGAGCGTAACTTATGAGCTTTGGAAAAGATAATTTTATCAGAGTTCTGTGGTGCGCGCCGCTCAGCCGGAAGTTCCCATTAATCCAATGTAACTCTGTCGAAGATCAGTGCTGCTGACTGCGCGCTATGAATAATAATAATGCAGTTACTTAAATTCAATTCAGTGAACGCTTGACGTCCTCCGCTGTATCGTGTGGCTGTAGATACTTTTTTCTTTATGCAACACGAAGTAGAAGGATTATTTTTATATTATTTTCACCAATTACAATATTACGTACCAGTCAAGAAAACAATGTGCTTTTGTGATCGTAGTGCGTCGATTAATTTTTTTATTTTAAAGTTGAAAAAGAACGTTTTGATTGTTGTTTCGATTATGAGTAATGTGTGTGATATCTCCAGTACACATTAATCATCGAAGCGTAAAAAATTAAAAACACGTTCCCTATATCTAATCGAAGATACACGTACAAATTGTTTCGCTTTTTTTAATTTTATCATTTATCTTGACGTTTGGCGTAGTCTTTTTTTGTATTTTATTTTTTTCGATAAATCCGTAGACACATCGTAGAAACATGGTCGTCGTAGTCTTTCATTATTTTTTAGATAGCTGCTTTTTTTCTTTTTCCCAGTAATTTATCTGATTCACATGTCGACAATGTAAATTGACATTAGTATCTGAAACACGACTCAAATGACTCAATCATTGCACACTTACTTTGCGCTACAGTGCGAATTGAGGTATATAGTTCCTCGCGTTTCTTTGTTACGTTTTTCGTTATTTTTGCTCAGCCGTAGTTGTCATCATTTGTTGTTGTTCTTGTTTTTGTTTGAAGTAGAACCGTTTGTCCACCCAATGGAGTTTTTGCAACAATATTCACTGTAAACCATCTGTTCCAGCATCGGAAGCGCTCGTCAAACAGATAATCTGGCGTGTCTTTAGAGAAAAAAAAAGTGATGCAAATTTTTTTCGTTTCCAAGAAATGATGCAACACATCGCATGAAACACATGTTTCTCACTGGCGTTGTTGAAGTCGAGAAAATGCTGGACTCCTGTTACATTTCACCATCTCCAATTGAAACTAATCATTAAGTTTTATTCGTTGCAACAATATTAGACAAATTTTATTTTTCTATTATCCACGAAAAAAAGGGAGGCGAGTAACCTTTTAAAAGTTCTCTCACCCTTGGATTTCCGCGTGAAATGCACCCTCAGCGGGCAAAGCTTCGAGGCTCGAGGGGCTCTTTTTTTCGCACTTCTTTGATGTTTGCTCTTTTCCTTATAGCCTCACTTTTCGCTCTGCATCCAGCGACGTTCCACTCGTTCGCGACGCAGCCAAGGATCACACAAAACTTTTGTACGGAATGACAAGTTTTTCGCAAACTTTGTGCCAAATGAATTACACTCAAGAATCAACTCGAACGCGCAACGCGAGTAAAAAATGTACCACGTTTTTTTTTTTTTATCATCGGAGATTGGTGGTACATCAGTTCTGGCGATAAGACCCCGAGCTACCTTCGTTCACAAGACAAACATCAGCACAGCACGTATTTATCGACGGACGAAGCTATAGAGAAATATTTACAAGCCGGCACTTTTTCTCACACCCCGTCGTCTTATTAGAGCCCAAAATCGTCATCCTTTTTAACCAACGTACAAAGTATACGTGCATGGTAAACGCCGGCAATTGGACGTCATAAAGAAACAATAAGAAGGAAACAGAATTGAATGAAGTGCCGGCTTAATATTTCTCCCTCCCACCACTGTACGAACGTACACGTACTGTGCGTATACGAAAAGACACAAGCCTCGACCTCTTGTAAAACATGTCACTCCCTCACACGCCCATCTCTCGTTTGCTCTTGGTATGCCAGATAAAAAAAAAAAAAAAAGAAACAACAATCGAGTCCTTTTGGTTTTGCTCTCACTTTTATAACTAGTACTACATCATGATAGTTTTATTAAAATAAAGTTATCGCGGTCGTGTAAGGTGAAATCAAATATTTTTAAATAAAACGGCGCACGAAAAACCACAGATACGATGTATCGGCCACGGAAACTAGATCGAATGACAGACACACCGAGTGAATGTGTATATTGTATGGGGGGTATAGCTCAAAAACCTGATACATCACGATTGGTAGAGTCTCTTTTTGGAAAAAAATGAGGTTACCGTGGGGGGGGGGGATTAGCATGTAAATATAATCGCTAGCGCCCCAACGTGGTAAGTGAAAAGTGCTATTACGTCCCTCTTTTGTCCCGAGCCGGATGAATTTCGAGAGCGGGACAATGGGGAGGTGATACGTACAAATCCAATCCATGTGCTTTGGCTTTCGTAACACGAGATAATAATTTTTTTCTGTGCTGTAAAAAAAAAAAAAAAANCACAGCGACTCGCCTCCATATGGTCGTGATAATGTAACTTTGTTGAATTTAATGCCCGATGATTTCATGTATCTCGATTTTTTTTTTTTTTAAAAAGGGGAGGAGAGAGGGTGCATGTGGTGTGTAGGTAATTTTATCCCGGGGATGCCTTTTTTGCGATTCGACGACCAACGCACGAAAGCGCCTCGAGTGTAGAATGACAATGACATCCGTCGGAGGAACCGAGACAACGAGCAGGTAAATATTGGACGAAAAATCGTAAGCGTAGGGTACAAACGTGTGTACACATCGCATAGATAAGCAAAAGTGGGCGTCGCGTCGCCGTATTATGACAGGGTATGGAAGAAGTGAAAAAAAAAACAACACATAGTATATGTACCCGAATTCACGGGAAAGGAGATCACCGAATCCGAGACGATGGCGGAAAAGGAAAGGAGGGGGGGGGGGAAAGAGAGAGTCCGGTAAAAACGAAGGGATTCGAGAAACGTGAGCTCTCGAAGGATATAATCGCGCTGAAGGAGGCGACGAGGAGCTACTCCCTTTCTCTCTCAATAATATGAAACATTGCAAACGAGCAACCACTCGGTGGAAGCTGTTTTTATTTTACCGATCAAAATAACATTATACATAATATTTAAAAACATAATATAAATACACAGGGAATATCCATCCACGTACGGATAGTAAAAAAATACAGTTAGTGGTCCCACTAAGTATTAATTAAACAAAACTAATGGAAGATGGGGTGTAGCGTGTGAGCATAGTTGTACGACACACAAAAGCTTCGGTTCGACTGCGGGGAATGAAAGATAGATAGGCGGATGTCTTAAAATAGGGTAAACAGAGAAAGAACGGGAGAGATATAGAGAAAAGTATATAGATTGGGCACAGGAGGGGGACAAAAAGTCCCAGGGATCCAAAAGAGAGAAAAGGACCGGCAGGTATATACACATACTTACAGACGTAGGGGAAAACTGTTTGTACACGGGAGAGATGGGAATCGCGGGATAGCCCTGTACGAAAACTTAAAGCTCACCTTTAAATTTGTCTTACTTTTTAAGGATCAAACATTCGTTTCGCTCGGATCAATCGACAATATTATTGAACAAAAATGTACGATATCATCAACAAAATCACCACATCACTTCGAGACGTTTAAGTATACTAATGGCTGTTCCCAAGCCACGGTATACCATCACATGAATCACGATCGTCGCCTTTATACGGACGATAGACGCGCCAGTCGCCTGCACGAGCGTCATCAGCAATACCAGCAGCATCCGAGCCTAGATTATACTCCCCCTCTCTCTCACTCTGTGTTAACCCCATTAACATTAATCCCCTAACAATGAGACTGGTACCCGTGCTCCAAGTGAAAATTATGATTCACCACTCCCGTATGATGTACGTATACGTGTATAACCCGTACGATACAACCATCATTATTATTATCATTATGCTATACTCTCTACTTACTATATATCTGCAGCACACACACGCGCACACATTAGCGTTATAAAACTCGTCTTGGCCTTTTTTGTGTACCTATATTTAAATCCCCTGGACGAAGGAGATGCTGTAAGAGTATCCGTGAGGTTGTGAAAGAAAAAAAAAGTGCGGCCTGAATGGGAAGTCGAAACAGGTAGTATTATTATTACAGTCGCGCGAGAGAGAGAAACAGACGCAGGTTTTTTTTTTTTTTTTCATTGTCATGTATATGTATCCCCACGTAAAGGTATATACACCTGCTCCGCTGCGAGGGAATCGAGCAGGTTATATATATATGGTAGATGATGGGTTCTGTTTTCGTGGGAAATGTATAGGGTCGTTTTTAATTCATATAGACCGCTAGAAAAAAAAAAGACGCTCTTGTGTTTAACATTTTCCACGCGATGAGCGCAACCGGGAAAACCCCTTGTTTACTTGAACTGAAATTTCTAAACAAACCAGATAATGTTGTGTAAAAAATATAGCACTTTTATGCGCAGTGGCGAGAGAGGAGCGTCTCGCTTGGCTGGATTTCGTCCGATTGCGCTATACATGTGTAAAATAATAACCCACGTGGGGGAAAAACGGGTTCGTCGCTGTAAATTCGTCACGCTCGACGTTATGGAACTTGGTACTGTATACGTCAGGGGTGGAGTACCTGCGGGGAAATATAATAACACAGGAAAAAAAAGACCGCACGAGACCACGGACTAAAGTTACGTGGATCGAGTCAACCAGAGTAAAGAAGAAAAAAAAATTAAACTACCCACATCTTGCGCAATGAGAAACACACTATATGGTACTTTGATTAAACGAAAAATAAAACAAAAAAAAACAGTCAACAAAAGACGAGGTATGCGTTGGATAAACTATTTCTTTGATCAAACGACTGACTCACTCGGCGATTACTAATCGCACTATGCGGGTATATCCGTAATACTTACCTG